ATCAGCCAGTGAAAACAAAGTGAATTCCTCAGGGAGGTGCCAGCCTCATCCTCTTATCTCTTCCTCGCCCCTCAGGAGACGAAAGAGGATGTTTCCCTCCCTGAGTGTGGCCTTCATAATTCCATTCCATCACACAGACAGAGGCACAGATTATGGAAATCCACCAATCACATTTTGGGTCAGAAGAGAAAGCACAGAGAGGAAACACACAGGGAGACGTTATTCTATTCACAAAAACAACTGGATAGCCAACAGAGTAAAACAAAGATCAAAATTGTCTGCTCTGACCACTGGATAGGACTGAAGCTATTTTTATGGGCAAAAAGGAAGCCTTGTAACTTCTCTCTAGAGATAAGCAAACGTGGGTATGGAGCAGGTCTGAGTTCAGTGGTGCTTGCACCTGGCAACAGCCAAAGTTGATGAAAATTGCTCCTGGGAAATGTTACTTCCAGGATATCCAAGAGAAATGCTGGATTCAGTAAACTCTTCTTTAGGAAGAATTGCAGAGCTTGTAAAGATAATCAGGCTTTCTCATCAACAGCACCTTTCCTCACATCCAGATTACGTTTGAACTTGTCCAGCGCCATCCATTACCAAGTCGGGTCAGATAGCAACTTGTCCCTTTGCATCCTCCTGAGATTGGGGGAGAGGCAGAGGCACAGCTGCATGACTCACTGCCTGATGTCACTTCAGCTCAGTTCCCGGATGACCATTCACGCAGATATTATACAGTGTGATTCCTGGCAGGCGGGAGGCCAAGTGGTGAAACAGCAGCTTCCCAGCACCACTTTCAGTGATTTAGTCCTCAGGAATCAGCCCAGCCAGGGCAAAAGAATACCATGGCCCATCATACTAAAAGCTGCTGAAAATCAACAGAGTAGCCATACTTCCTTTCTGCCCCATTTTCCACAATGATGACTAAAGCAGTTAACCTCCAGACTGTATAGACTCAAGCAATTAAGTTTGCACTGGTCAGTGACCATAACAAAATAGTGAGTTCTATTTCCCAAATCCCTGGGGTTCAGAAGTGACCACATGTTCAAAGTGGTCAGTATTCTTGTTCAATTCTTTACACCAAGAATTGAATAAAGGACAGATTGCTCCAGGACTCTAACCCCAGTCCAATCCACCATCTTAGTGCAGGGCAAAAAGTCTCCTTCTGTAGAAGAGGATTAAAGCAGTAGGTGGTCAGCTGGACAGTTCCACGTAAATCATCATTATTTCCCGCAAAGTTTCTTCCTTTCCATTATTCTCAGCAGAAAGGTCATCTGGTAGATATCACTGAAAGATTCTTTTGAACTTACATTTTTTACCATCTCCCTACAGAATCAGCTTTATGGATGTGGCTACAAAAACAAACAAATGAAACTCAAGTTTCTAATTTGCCTCCTGCAAGAAAGAAAACGATCCCACAATCAGAACAGACTTAGAAGCCAATTCAAACACTGGAAAATAACATCGCTGTTACCTTGAATTCTTCCACAATAATAGACAAGGCCTGGTGTCCAGCTTTTCTTAAATCTTCCAACTCAAGTTTATGTTTCTCCTAGAAGCAAATATAGAAAAGACAAAAGTGAGGAAACGTGGTCAATCCTTCTTCCAGTCCACTAAATTCCGACTTGAGTCACAGACCCTTCCATCCCTGACAAAGAGGCGTAATCATTACCAAGGCTTCTTCTGCTCCTAGTTCCCGTGTTTTAATTCTAGGACCGTCGTGTAAGAGACAACAGCTTTTGTTGGCTGCTGCTGGGGAAAGGTTAGCCTGAACATACTCTGTAGTCTCATTCTGACCTCTCTTTCACTCCAGTAAGACTTAGTGCAAACCAATGTGAACCACAGGGGAGAAATAGCTCATTAGATACCCAGCCTTCCCCAAAGGTAGCAGAAGGCACAGCTTATTTCCAAAGCAGATGTCAATCTTATGTGACCCTTAAAGAGGCAAGGGGCCCATGCCAACCCATCACCAGAATCCTCCAGCTATTGCTGTTTTACCACACAGTAAGGCTCCCAGCATGGGCATCCATAGGGAGATGGCAATCAGTCTAGGAGAGGTAATCAAAGAAAGGCTTGGAGACACTGAAGTCCAGAATGAAAGAGGACTCGTCCCAAATTCTGTCCAAACTTGGTTTAACCATGTTAGATGGAAACCAGCCAACTGTCCACTCATCTCTCCAGCTCTCCTTCAGAGCCAGATATAACAGTTTACTCTCAGTGCTTTCATATGGCAGATTCAATAAAACCCCCATGATCTCTGTGGGGATGGTTCAGTTGAATCTGTTCTCCAGCTGCTGCTGCACTGCTCCTTCTGCAATGAGATCCGAAGAAGACTCATCTTCCCTCTCTTGATCTTATGGCTATGTGGATGGTTGGTTGGTTTCCTCCTCTCTCTCTCTGCTGTATTCAGTTTATATATGTTCTATTTGGTCACTGACCGAAATAAATATTATCTATCATGCTTCAAATGATGAAATGTGTGTTACAATACAAGCCTTGCCCTTGGTACGTGCATCCTGATATACCATGCTGGGATTCTCACGACCACTCAGTATGTTTCTAGTTTGACACCACAGAGTGTTTTACAGCTTAGAAGTTTATGATCTTCTATTTAATCTTACACTCAACCAAATAGATAGATAGATGGATCGATTAAAAAATACATATTTTATGCCCCCCATGCCTTTTTACACTACTATGCTCCTATGTCTTCCTTTATTACTGAATTTCTGCCCTCTGCCTTATACCAGTCTATGATCATAATAAAAATTGATGACTACCAAGCACTTTTCAGAAAAAAAAATTGTCTGCCCCCCTGAATCTGTCCAGGATTCTGAAGGACCCGCCTCAGACAGCCCTCATTTCCTGATTCTGCTTCTTAATCTTTGGTTAGATGTGGAGGTTTTGCCTGTTCTCCCTATCCAAACCAGATCTTCCCCAAGCCTAAACACTGGACACCCAAGTTGTAGATGAAGGACATCAAGATCTAGATCATAAGAATTAGCAGCTGCACAAGAGTGAGCTCAGTGTATAGGACAACTTCCGAACAGAAGGCTTACTGTCTGCGATTTGGAGAAAATAAGTAGTCAGAGCCGGTCTCCACCTTTCATGGGACTAACACGGTGCAGCAGAGTTCTCTGTTTATCAAGGAAGGCAAACATTCCTGAAATGGTGTTGAGTGAATCATAATGAAAATGGCCACAGGGGGATTTATCTGACAGTTGCAGTCTTGTAAAGCATTTGCTAAGTTTAGGTCTAGGAAATCTCCATCCTGAAGCTTGGTTGTAAGCATCATTAGAGATAACATGGGAGTTTGAGCAAAGTTCCAGAGGCTGAGGTGATAATGAAATAATAGGCTGTCATGAGAGCTGTTAAAACTAAAATTATTGAAGCTGAAGAGAAAACCCTTTATTAAAAAATTCTCATGATCTTTGCTTTCTTAGCAGAAAGGAGTAATGTCTCCCTGACCGAGGCCTTCAACAGGTTGTAAACCTTTCATTGGCCCAAGAGCTGAAATCCCTTGTGACTTACTTTCTAGTGGCCAAAAGTGTCATCATGCCACAAGCTAAAGTGTGTGGGATTAATCCAATTTATTCTTTCCCCTCCTCTTTTCTGCCTCAAAAACCCTTGCGTGCACATACTTATCCACCATGCACACAAAATACACATATACTCTTTCACATACTACCTGAGATACATGCACCCAAAAGGCAAAGACTTTAAAAAAGCTCCAAATAATTCAAGCGAAGGACTTTTAAAATCTTACTTGAAGTGGAACTGCAGACAAAAATAATTAACCTTTCCCTATTGAATTTAAATAACACTCCCCCCCCCCCAATTGCTCACAGAAGCTGCAATCAAGTTTGAAATGATGTTTTTATTTGGTGTGAGGGCATGGGGGGGGGGGACAAAGTCTGTAGGCCCAGCTTCTCAGTCTGAGAAGGTCTGATAGATCAGCTTTGGTCCATTCATACTCTAGAAACCTTCAGAGGTGCTCAATGAAGTATTATTTTGGGAAACTTCAATGAGACAAGGAAGAATTTCTATGTTTTTTCTGTTATTAAACAACCTCTTACTTCAATCATATCTAAGAACTAAAGTAGTAACATATAGTGGCTATTATGCCAAATTCAACAATATCAACAATAACCAGTATAATTAAATATTTCAGTATTCCTCCATGTCCAATCCAGAATGGCCTGAACTATTCTCTCTAACTGATGCCTAACTAGATTATATGATGTTTAAACATCATCATGTACAGTATCTAAATACAAAGGTTGCTTTCAAAGAAATTGGCCTACCTAGTTGTGAAACTATTTTTACAAAGCAGTTCAGCACTGGCCTGAAAAATATACTTTCTGCTGAGCAAGAAATCTTGGAAATGATTGTTAGCACAGCAATTTGCTGGAAGGAATTACAATCAATTATATGTGACGCACAAGGCTAACTCAAGGCTATTGTAAAAATCTGCATGCCTCCAATTTAAGGAGAACTAAGTGTAACTTAAATAACTGCAATTCGGTATGTTCTAGATGTGAATGTGGAGGTTGGCAACACAGCCCTGTCAGGTACACATGTGCGTGCCAGGACCCAATATATGCCCATCCGTCTCCTTGCCCACATGCACACAAACCTACTCCTTCTCCTGGGAGAGAAATCACCACTAGCAATGATATAGCATTTTCCTCTCCCTTCACTGCAAAGAAGGGACAGACACAGAAGCTCAATCTTTCTTTGTAGTAAAGAGAATACGAATCATTATTTGCTGTTATACATCAGGAAGAGCTCCCCAGTAATAGTAGTTCTGTCTAGTTACACACTACACAGTATGTGAAAGCATCACCAGCCCCCTTATGTCTGCCCAACGAAGGCAGAGGGAAAAAAATAATACACGGTAGTTTCCATTTGTAGAGAATATGTGAACGTCAGGGTTGATCTATTGGGTTCTTGATGTCCTCTGAGCTTGGGTGTTTTTCTGAAGACGTTTCATTACCAAGCTAGGTAGCACCCCTGTCATGCACTGATAATGTTACTTAGTGTCGCAATGACACATCTGCAGGAAAACAGAGAACACCAAGAACTCAACCTTGGTCTAATTTCTCAAACTATATCCTCCATTCCCACTTAAGCTTGCATGCCTCTCTCAGCAGAGGTGACTCAGAAAGCTTCCCTATCTTAAACCTTTCAAATGTACCCAGGGCAGCCCATCTAAACCTGTCCACCGAGGACTCTTTCCACCACAGTGCAGTCACTTCACCTTGAGTCACTTTCCCCACCTGAACAAAACAGAAGCAAAATACCGTTTGGAAAATATTCATGGTTGTCACAGTGGACATAAAATCCCAGCTACTCTTGACCAAGCAGCCTTGATATGGACACTGAAATCTCCCAGCAAGTTCTTACAGTTCAGCATTTCCACCCAGAATTAGGCCCTGGATGAGAGACTGTTCCCATCAAATGATCTGGAATTTAAAAAGAAGGGATCTTAAATCATTTAGGGAATATACTGCTTGCCTTTTTTTCTCCTTAGTTTTTCTCATTCATTGGAAACAATATTTTCCTTTGCACCATTACAGCTGTAGAGCTCTCTCCACCAGAAGAGAATAAACTTTTCTAGGTGTATCAGAGACAGCCTAAAGCCTTTTTCCGGTTTCTCGGCTCAAATCATTTAAACAGGTCAAAACTGTTCTCCATTATTTAGTATGTGCTAAATAGCTTCAGCAGCCAAAGTCTTGTATCTGAATGGCTCGGCTACCCTAGACCCGCTCCCAATATTGCGTTTATCTGAAAGGAAGGCAACCCTAAGTCTAACACAATCTCCTTCCTCTCTATTCAAGGAGGAAAATCCAGGCCAAGGCCCACCAACTCCAGGTGTAATCAGTCCTGAAGACATGTGTGGGCCTGTGACACATGTACAGATCGATATATGACTTGCCAGAAGCCACACTCCCAGCCAGAGCTACACCAGGACTTTCTTTTGTATATAAAACAACCACTGCTGATTAAAACTAATTGTCTGTAAGACAGAGTACAACAATTATAAAATCAATTCATTCCCATTTGTGTATATCAGCTGGTCTCTGTCTCACGTTCAAACCGCTCTCCTAGAGACACCAGCAAGGCTTCCTTCACACCACCAGAAACAGCAAAAAGGAAACCAGGATGGCGATGGGTTACGGGGCAGGTAAGGAAGGAGCAAAGCTGGATGGAGATGCAGCAATGGGAGAAATAGCTGAACAGAGACTGATGATGCTCCAACTGTTGACCCATCTGCTTCGGGTTCCTCAGTAAACCATAGTACTGATCTGACTATGTAAGAGGAACCAGGGTGCCGATCAACCATACACCAACTGTCCTGAATGTCTCCAGATTTGGGGCACTGATGGTATCGCTAACAGAAAATGTGGAAAATTCCCCAAGTCAATCAGAAAACCAACCAGGTGCTCAGTGGGCCATTCAAGTGGCCCTCTACTTCTAAAGAGGCTTATGTCAGCCATCAGTCAGAAGAAAGGGAGACCCTCTTTAGGTGTTACAGAAAGACTTAAATTC